CTGTCACCTCGTCAGCCGCCCCTGGTCACCCCGTTAACCTCCTTCGATTACTCCGTCAGCAACCTCCGGCCACCCCTTCACCGCGACACCGTTACGCAATCAACGATCCCACCCAGAGCGTGACGACGCCGCCCTTTTGGACCCCGTCGCTAACGGCACTTGCCCCAACAGTCTTCTAAGGCTACACGGGGGATCTTTGTCTTTGTGTCCGAGTGTGTGCAAAGGGAGCGGTGGGCTAGCGGTTGGCGCGACTGCGTTACGAGACCCGGCCCTGCTCACGGCCAACACCGGTGACGATTATTTGAAACGGTTCTGGGCCTCACCTAGGTCTACTCAGCCTTAAATGAGTGCCCGGTGTGGTGTATAAATATCGCCACTGGGGAGACAAAGGCGGCCGGGCGTGGTGCTGGCCACCCACCCCCTCGTGTGCCGTGCCGGCCTTCATGGGGCGCTCGCTAGCAGCACTTTCCCCAACAGTCTGTCAAGGCTACACGGGGGATCTTTGTCTTTGTGCGTGTGTACGTGTGTGTGAGGAGCGGTAGTGTAGCGGTTAGCGCGCTGCGCTACGAACCTGGCCACCCGGGTTCGATACCCGCTCACGGCCAACATCAGTGACGATTATCTGAACCCGTCCCGGGCCTCTCCTAGGTCGACTCGGCCTCAAATGAGCACCTGGTGCGGTGTGTAAACATCGTCACTGGAGAGACAAAGGCGGCCAGCCGTGGTGTTGGCCACCCACCCCCTCGTGTGCTGTGCCGGCCTTCATAGATGCTCGCGAACAGCACTTGCCCCAACAGTCTGTTCAGGCTATACGGGGAATCTTTGTTCTGCGTGTTTGGGATGAGAGCGGCACAGGTGGTGCGTCTTCCAGCCATCTCGGTGAGTCAACCCAGGGCACCCTGGCTCTGTCCCCGTGACCTCCTGCCGGCAGCGAGCCGTCGACGCCTTCCACGTGGCCGCGAGGCTGCTCCGCGGTGACGTCACCGTCACGTGGTGGCGAATGGCGTCCGTTGGCATTGGATGGGAGCGGTGGATGCGTTGGTTGGCGCGGCGCTCCGAAACCCGCGGCGACCCGAGTTCGATTCGGCAACGCGAGTTCACCCACCCACCCCTAACCCACCCACCCCTCCCCGATGAAGTTCGCGGGCACGCGCCTCCTTGTTGTGGACGCCCCAACGCAGAAGATCAAAACCCACGGGGGGGGGGGGTGGTTTGATTTTCCACGAAAGCTGCTCGCGAGTTCCAACCTCCAAACCGCATCGTCCACTGCACACAGCCAATGGCAGCGGCAGCAGCGGATAGCCGATGCCACAAATGGACCGTTAAATAAGTATAACCCGTAAAAACAAAGTTTTTCACTATAAATCCTTTATATGCGTGGCGGCTAGAGTCCTCTCGTCTTCTGGCTTGAGATGGCTGCCACCTATGGGTCAGATGATTGTCTGCCAGTATTAATCAATTGGTAATTAAATATTCAATTTGTTTTCCCTAAACAGTGTAACATTGTGGAATTTTTTTTTCACAAACATTAATTGTCTCGCACAACGAGTCTGTGTGCAAAATGTCAGCTCGATTGGATCACGGGAAGTGGGTTAAAAACGACCGAAAGATTTGCACGGTCCTAAGCAAGCACGCAAGCAAGCAAGCAAGCGAACTTAACATAAAGGATTTAAAAAGAACACTCTCTGGCAGTGTGAGGTCTGTGCGTCATCCAGAACAGGGCCGTAAGTACAACGCAGAACAACGCCACAGAACCCTATTATTATATTTATTATCATATTTTGGTACTGGCAAAGGAGGTCTAATGATGTACTTGCTTAGCCCCGAACCCTCGTTACTCTGATAGTGCATTGTCTTTGAGCTGTGCGCCTTTTGGCGTCCTCTGGTCTAGCACCAATTGAGACGAGGCTCAAAAGAAAGCCGTCTCTGGTGTGGACCAATCAGTTTCATGGACAATGCAAAAATTATCAGTGTGGTTTTTTTGCATTTTGACCACAAGTATTGTGGTTAATGCAGGTATGATTCCTTGTAAAAAGGTTTCAGTTTTGTTGCCAAAAAAGGGGAAAACCCCTATTATTATTATATATAACCTTGTTGTAACTGCTCTCTCGCTGGTTCAGAAGTTCCACTGCTGGATTAATTTTTTTTCCGCCTGAGGACGACCGCTTGTGTTGCGATCGAAACGTCGTGATTCATTTTACGTTATACCTACGTGACCTTACCGAAAGAACCAAAGAGTATGAGCCCATGACTCGTTTTCATCACACGCCGAGTCATAATCTCAACAACATAGACGCATAGATACTCATAGAGATACATAGGAGATACATGGAGACTCGGTTAAACGTGGGCTAGTTATTGCCCAATCCAGCTGACTCAAGAACGTAATTAACTAACAAAGACCCCCCCGTATAGCTTTAACATACTGTAGGAGCAAGTGCTGTTAGCAATTCACACTTAAATCTTGACTTAAAGCTTTCGTGACTGCAGGAATTCAAAGAAAATAACAAAAAAATAACAAAAACTACGACGTTTCGCTCGCAACACAAGCGTTCATCATCAGGAAGAAAAAAAAAAGATGGGACAGCTGCTGAGGCAGTCTTTTGTAATTTTCTTTGAACCTAAATACGTGACTTTACCGAAAGACCCAAGAAGACGATTCACACTTAACACATTCCTGCAGAGGGAGCTGGTATGAACGTTGGGTTGCTCGGTCAATGGCCAGGGTCAACGGCGGCGTGGTGTATTCCGCAAATATGGCCTACTGTGAGGGCGGGCACAAGCCGGCGTGAGCAGGTTAAACGTTGAGTTTTATAAGGGCACCACGGGGTGACCAGCCCCTCCCCTCCCCACCCAGCCCCACCCCTCCCACCTCCCACCCATCCCCACCCTCCCCTCCCCATCCAGCCCCTCCCTCTCTCCCCACCCAGCCCCTCCCTGCACGACGGACGGACGGACACAATAATCCCCTGTGGGCTGGTGTAACATGGAGGTTTCTACCAGTATAAATACATAGAAATACATAGAGACTCATAGAGATGCATAGAGCATCATAGAGATACATCGAGACTCATCGAGATACATAAAGATATATAAAGACCAATAGAGATACATAGAGACACATAGAGACACATAGCGATGTATAGAGACTCATACAGACTCACAGAGATACATAGAGACCCATAGATATGCATAGACTCGTAGAGATATGTAGAGATGCGCTTCGATATATAGACTCAAAGAGATGCATAGAGACTCATACAGACACGTACATATACCTTGAGACTGGGTTAAAAGTGGGCTCAGTATTGCCCAATCTTGGCCAGCTTGCTCAAAAAAAATTATTAACTAACAAAGACACAGGTCCCCCGCATAGCCTTCACAGACTGTTGGGGAAAGTGCTGTTCGCGAGCACCTTTGGCACACAAGGGAGTGAGTGGCCGCACCACACCGGGCCGATTTTGTCTCCAAAGTGGCGAAGTTTACACACCGCACCAGGTACTCATTTTAGGCCGAGTCGACCTGGACCCAGGACCGGTTTAGCAGGAATCGAATTCATGTCGCTAACCGCTACACTTCCGCTCCCGCTAATCTAAGACGATCAAACACACACGCGCCAATTCCTCATGAGATGTCAGTGTGTGTAAGTGGGTGAGTGGGTGGGTGAGTGGGTGAGTGAGTGAGTGGCTGCGTGAGTGGGTGAGTGAGTGAGTGAGTGGGTGAGTGAGTGAGTGGCTGCATGAGTGAGTGGCTGCGTGAGTGGGTGGGTGAGTGGGTGCGTGAGTGGGTGAGTCGGTGAGTGAGTGAGTGGCTGAGTGACTGGGTGAGTTGAGTGGCTGAGTGAGTGGCTGAATGGGTGAGTGAGTGGGTGAGTGAGTGGCTGAGTGAGTGAGTGCGTGAGTGAGTGGCTGAGTGAGTGGGTGAGTGGGTGAGTGAGTGGGTGGGTGTGTGAGTGGGTGAGTGATTGAGTGAGTGATTGAGTGAGTCGGTGAGTGAGTGGCTGAGTGAGTGGGTGCTTGAGTGGGTGAGTGATTGAGTGAGTCGGTGAGTGAGTGGGTGAGTGGGTGAGTGAGTGTGATTGGGTGAGTGTGAGTGGGTGAGTGATTGGGTGAATGAGTGAGTGAGTGGGTGAGTGAGCGGGTGTGTGAGCGGGTGGGTGAGTGTGAGGGAGTGAGTGGCTGAGTGAGTGGGTGAGTGAGTGGGTGGGTGCGTGATTGGGTGAGTGATTGAGTGATTGAGTGAATCGGTGAGTGGCTGAGTGAGTGGGGGCGTGAGTGGGTGAGTGATTGAGTGAGTCGGTGAGTGAGTGGGTGTGTGAGTGGGTGAGTGTGAGTGGGTGAGTGATTGGGTGAGTGGGTGAGTGAGTGGGTGAGTGAGCGGGTGTGTGAGTGTGAGTGGGTGAGTGAGTGAGTGAGTGGGTGTGTGAGTGTGAGTGGGTGAGTGAGTGAGTTGGTGTGTGAGTGAGCGGGTGAGTGATTGGGTGAGTGAGTCGGTGGGTGGGTTGGTGAGGGAGTGAGTGACTGTGTAAGTCTGTGAGTGGGTGACTGGGTGGGTGAGTTAGTGAGTGTGTGCTTGTGTGAGTGAGTGGGTGGGTGAGTGGGTGAGTGAGTGGGTGAGCTTGTGGGTGGGTGGACGAGTAAGTGAGTAAGTGTGTGGTGTAAACTCATTTGCATCACATGCCGAGTCATAATCTCAACAACAATCAACTCCCACAGAGGTCGTGCACGAGCTGAGTATGGGAGAGAGAGAGGCAGAGAGTACACGCTGGTTACGACTATAAGCGAGGGAGCGAAGTTGTAAGCATGCGTGTTGAACTTATTTCGCACCTCACGAAGCCAACAGTGCTAATCGCGAAGGACAGACATTTTCTGGATAAGAGAGTCCTAGATAAGAGCGTAACAAATGACAGGAGCGTTCTGCGTGACCAAGGGCAGTACTGGCGAATTGGTGATAGGCGAAATGTCGCGGAGTTCGCTGGATCGCTCGCTCGCTCGCTTCACCCGCATTGGAGAGTCGGAGACTTGTAGTAGACGTAGCAGATCCCCAGGGACAGGAACACGGCGAAGATGAAGAGTACGGGAGATCGAGTCGTCAGCATGGCGTCGCGTGGACGAGGTCCCCGGGGAATGCTACTCCTTGTCTCTCTCTGTCTCTCTTGGTCACCTCGGGAGCGTCGTCACCCCGCGTGAGTGAGCGGTGAGCGGGGGGGAGTTGTGGGGAGTTGGGTGTCGCTGTGAGGTCGGAGAGAGGAGTGAAGTTGTGGAGGGAGTGTGGTGGGGGTGGTGGTGGTGGTGGGGAGGGGAGTGGGTGCCTGAGCAGTTGCGGAGGGGGGTGGGATTGATTTGGGTGGGAGGGGTTGGTGAGTGGTTGTGATGGGGAGGGTGAGTGGCAGTGATGGGGAGGGTGAGTGGCTGTGATGGGGAGGGTGAGTGTCTGTGATGGGGAAGGTGAGTGGTTGTGATGGGGAGGGTGAGTGGCTGTGATGGGGAGGGTGAGTGGTTGTGATGGGGAGGGTGAGTGGCTGTGATGGGGAGGGTGAGTGACTGTGATGGGGAGGGTGAGTGGCTGTGATGGGGAGGGTGAGTGACTGTGATGGGGAGGGTGAGTGACTGTGACGGGGAGGGTGAGTGGCTGTGATGGGGAGGGTGAGTGACTGTGATGGGGAGGGTGAGTGACTGTGATGGGGAGGGTGAGTGTCTGTGATGGGGAGGGTGAGTGACTGTGATGGGGAGGGTGAGTGGCTGTGATGGGGAGGGTGAGTGGTTGTGATGGGGAGGGTGAGTGGCTGTGATGGGGAGGGTGAGTGACTGTGATGGGGACGGTGAGTGACTGTGATGGGGAGGGTGAGTGGCTGTGATGGGGAGGGTGAGTGGTTGTGATGGGGAGGGTGAGTGACTGTGATGGGGACGGTGAGTGACTGTGATGGGGAGGGTGAGTGGCTGTGATGGGGAGGGTGAGTGGTTGTGATGGGGAGGGTGAGTGACTGTGATGGGGAGGGTGAGTGTCTGTGATGGGGAGGGTGAGTGTCTGTGATGGGGAGGGTGAGTGTCTGTGATGGGGAGGGTGAGTGTCTGTGATGGGGACGGTGAGTGACTGTGATGGGGAGGGTGAGTGGCTGTGATGGGGAGGGTGAGTGACTGTGATGGGGACGGTGAGTGACTGTGATGGGGAGGGTGAGTGGCTGTGATGGGGAGGGTGAGTGGTTGTGATGGGGAGGGTGAGTGGCTGTGATGGGGAGGGTGAATGGTTGTGATGGGGAGGGTGAGTGGCTGTGGTGGAGAGGGTGAGTGTCTGTGATGGGGAGGGTGAGTGGTTGTGATGGGGAGGGTGAGTGGTTGTGATGGGGAGGGTGAGTGGTTGTGATGGGGAAGGTGAGTGACTGTGATGGGGAGGGTGAGTGGTTGTGATGGGGAGGGTGAGTGGCTGTGATGGGGAGGGTGAGTGGCTGTGATGGGGAGGGTGAGTGGCTGTGATGGGGAGGGTGAGTGTCTGTGATGGGGAGGGTGAGTGACTGTGATGGGGAGGGTGAGTGACTGTGATGGGGAGGGTGAGTGTCTGTGATGGGGAGGGTGAGTGTCTGTGATGGGGAGGGTGAGTGTCTGTGATGGGTAGGGTGAGTGATTGTGATGGGGAGGGTGAGTGGCTGTGATGGGGAGGGTGAGTGGCTGTGATGGGGAGGGTGAGTGGCTGTGATGGGGAGGGTGAGTGGCTGTGATGGGAGGGTGAGTGTCTGTGATGGGGAGGGTGAGTGTGATGGGGAGGGTGAGTGACTGTGATGGGGAGGGTGAGTGGTTGTGATGGGGAGGGTGAGTGTCTGTGATGGGGGGGGTGAGTGTCTGTGATGGGGAGGGTGAGTGTCTGTGATGGGGAGGGTGAGTGTCTGTGATGGGTAGGGTGAGTGATTGTGATGGGGAGGGTGAGTGTCTGTGATGGGGAGGGTGAGTGTCTGTGATGGGGAGGGTGAGTGTCTGTGATGGGGAGGGTGAGTGTCTGTGATGGGGAGGGTGAGTGGCTGTGATGGGGAGGGTGAGTGACTGTGATGGGGAGGGTGAGTGGCTGTGATCGGGAGGGTGAGTGGTTGTGATGGGGAGGGTGAGTGTCTGTGATGGGGAGGGTGAGTGGTTGTGATGGGGAGGGTGAGTGTCTGTGATGGGGAGGGTGAGTGTGACGGGGAGGGTGAGTGTCTGTGGTGGGGAGGGTGAGTGGCTGTGATGGGGAGGGTGAGTGACTGTGATGGGGAGGGTGAGTGGCTGTGATGGGGAGGGTGAGTGGTTGTGATGGGGAGGGTGAGTGTCTGTGATGGGTAGGGTGAGTGATTGTGATGGGGAGGGTGAGTGTCTGTGATGGGGAGGGTGAGTGTCTGTGATGGGGAGGGTGAGTGTCTGTGATGGGGAGGGTGAGTGTCTGTGATGGGGAGGGTGAGTGTCTGTGATGGGGAGGGTGAGTGGCTGTGATCGGGAGGGTGAGTGGCTGTGATGGGGAGGGTGAGTGGCTGTGATCGGGAGGGTGAGTGGTTGTGATGGGGAGGGTGAGTGTCTGTGATGGGGAGGGTGAGTGGTTGTGATGGGGAGGGTGAGTGTCTGTGATGGGGAGGGTGAGTGTGACGGGGAGGGTGAGTGTCTGTGGTGGGGAGGGTGAGTGGCTGTGATGGGGAGGGTGAGTGACTGTGATGGGGAGGGTGAGTGGCTGTGATGGAGAGGGTGAGTGGTTGTGATGGGGAGGGTGAGTGGCTGTGATGGGGAGGGTGAGTGGCTGCGATGGGGAGGGTGAGTGACTGTGATGGGGAGGGTGAGTGGCTGTGATGGGGAGGGTGAGTGTCTGGGGTGGGGAGGGTGAGTGTGATGGGGAGGGTGAGTGGCTGTGGTGGGGAGGGTGAGTGGTTCTGATGGGGAGGGTGAGTGACTGTGATGGGGAGGGTGAGTGGCTGTGGGGGGGAGGGTGAGTGGCTGTGGTGGGGAGGGTGAGTGGCTGTGATAGGGAGGGTGAGTGGCTGTGGTGGGGAGGGTGAGTGTCTGTGATGGGGAGGGTGAGTGTCTGTGATGGGGAGGGTGAGTGTGAGGGGGAGGGTGAGTGGCTGCGATTGGGAGGGTGAGTGTGATGGGGAGGGTGAGTGACTGTGATGGGGAGGGTGAGTGGCTGTGATGGGGATGGTGAGTTGCTGTGATGGGGAGGGTGAGTGACTGTAATGGGGAGGTTGAGTGTGATGGGGAGGGTGAGTGGCTGTGATGGGGAGGGTGAGTGACTGTGATGGGGAGGGTGAGTGTGATGGGGAGGGTGAGTGTCTGTGATGGGGAGGGTGAGTGTCTGTGATGGGGAGGGTGAGTGTCTGTGATGGGGAGGGTGAGTGTCTGTGATGGGGAGGGTGAGTGGTTGTGATGGGGAGGGTGAGTGTGATGGGGAGGGTGAGTGGCTGTGATGGGGAGGGTGAGTGTCTGTGATGGGGAGGGTGAGTGGTTGTGATGGGGAGGGTGAGTGGCTGTAGTGGGGAGGGTGAGTGGCTGTAGTGGGGAGGGTGAGTTTTTGTGATGGGGAGGGTGAGTGGCTGTGATGGGGAGGGTGAGTGGCTGTGATGGGGAGGGTGAGTGGCTGTGGCACGTTGCTGGTGCTACGAACCCGGCGACCCGAGTTCGAATCTGGTCCTGGGCCTCCCATAGTTACCTGGTGCGGTGTGTTAACATCACCACTGGGGAGATAAAGGCGGTCAGACATGGTGCTGACCACCCATCCCCTCGTGTGCCATGCCGGCCTTCATAGGTGCTCGCTCGCAGCACTTGCTCCAACAGTCTGTTAAGGCTATACAGGTGGAGTGTTCTAATTCAGAGACAACCAACATGCATCCAGACCCACAGCTTGAAGAGGCGAAGATCACGATGACATCAGCATGTCGAGTTCCATTCCCGATGGTAGCAGCCCCGACTGTGAGTCGGAGCTCGCCTTTTATTCTCTCCAGCGTGACCGGGCTCCGCCCTCGGCCACGCACCCTTCTGGATCCCCCAGAAGCCTCCGGGCTTGGCCCACGGGTTCAACTGGTAGAAGGGGATGCTACCCCTAATTCCATTGTCGACCAATCTCCCAGCGCCAGCCGCTACAGTGACTCATTCAATGTCACTACATCACCCCCTCCCCCGTGAAAAAAACAGCCGTGCTGGCTGACCTTTACACATCATGCAGTGCAGTGGGACGATGAAGCAACAATATCCACGCAACATTCGCAATGCATGGCAACAATCCAGCCCCCAAAATAACAGCAACCGAACGACGATTCGGGGTGGTCATCTGAACCGAACTGTCTTGGAATGGTACATGTCGCCCGCACCTCAAATGGGCCCAGCACGGGTCCTCTGGGAACCCTGGGGATAATCCGAGGATGGCCCAATGGGCACGGTCCTTCCCGGGACGAAGATGGAGGAAGAGAAGAAGTGGGTGGAGGTCGTCCCGTACACCCTGATCCGCCTGCGGATGGCGCCGCCGGCAGTTCCACGGGCGTTAGGCCCTGGGATCCTGCAAATGGAGGAACAGAGCTTCGCCGAGGCGCATCATCCATAACCATACGTCCGGCTCCATTGGACACATCAAACACCCGGACATCAGATTGTGGAGATGAAACGCCCTCATAAGGTAGTAAATAGGGCTTCAAGTCGTGACAGGTGCACATACCAACGCCTGCGACCAACATAAATCTGCACACACTGCGGCCTCCTCACCTCAATTACCTGCACCGGGCCCTGCCATGGTCTATGTAATTTAGGAGACGTGCCTAGAGGCACTTGGGGGCAATGCAGCCATGCCCTGTCTTCAGGCTTACACGGGTTTCCGGACTCCTTAAGCCCAGCCAGTTTTTCATTCTCAGCCTGCCGCTTGGCCGAATTGCCACGAGACGCCTCCTGTGCTTCAGTGAACCACTTAAGGGTGAGGCTCACAAGTCCCGGCACAGTGGCTCTCTTCTTGCTCGGTTCAATATTTAACTGGGCTTCCATGGGTGGGGGTCACACTCTCTCCATACATAAAACAACCGGGGAGAACCCGGTAGAGGCATAAGGGGCCATCCTATAGTCCACAAGAACCCCCGGAACGTGTAGGTCCCAATCAGACTATGCCTCATTGACTTGTTGGCACAACATGGACGTAAGAGTTTTATGTAAACGCTCTACCATTCCGTCAGTCTGGGGATGGTAGGGCGAAGTTCGAATTTTCTTTGTACCCAACAAATCACATACCTCTTGTAACAATTTCGAAGAAAAATTTCGACCTTGGTCCGTAAGGAGACGTTCCAGGACCCCTTTATCCAACACGTGACCATGCAGGAACGCGTCCGTAATGGATGCCACCGACTGATCCGGCAGGGGCCATGCCACCGGCCACCGGCCACCGCGACAGGTACTCGACCCCGACCATAAATAATTTATTGCCCTTCGAAGTGGTGGGAAATGGCCCAACGATGTCGGGGGCAACGAACTTATTTACACGGGACACCCTGATAGATTGCAACGGTGGTCGGGCTAGCCTCGGCAGGGGCTTCCGGCAAGCACATTCCACTCAACCTTTAAGCACGTTGTGGACGTCTTCTGACATCCCGGGCCAAAAGAAGTCACGCTTCAACATCGATAATGTTTTCTGCACCCCTAGGTGCATCAGCCGCACATGGGCAGCTCTCGTTACCCTACCCCACAGAGCAGTTGGTACAACGATACAGTACCGCTGTACCTCTGTATCTCAGCGCATTAGTAGCCCATCTCAGAGTACCATGGGGGACATACCCCCTGGACCCTTTGTATCGCTTGGTGCACCAACGCAGTGCCATATTTTCCGTAAGGAGGCGTCCTCCACTTGGAGGTGCTCCCATTCTTTGTGCGCAAGACCAATGGTGTTATCACGTGCCACCTCCGCTACGGGCGACAGAGCATCTACCGACGCTACAACGGTGACCGGCTCCCCCCGCCTCCACCTGCTTACAACGGCTGGCGCCCATAAAACACACGCACTGGCTCTTCGGTGATAACTGTTGTATATGTCGGGTTATAAAATTTTTATGAAAATAATAAAAATTAAATGAAGATTGGAAAAATGCTTGCGATTATGTTAATGTGGGCAGTTATGATAATTAGGCTTAGCTTCGTTATCCAGAGTTGTATCAATCGGGATGAAACAATTATCTTTGATTAACATTTATTGATTATCTTAGTGTGTTTATGTTATGTTAGGTCTCCAAATTCATATATCAACGCAGGATACAGTTCTTATCAATAAGAGTTATGCATGGACTTGGAAAGAAACACTCAAAATACTTCTGTGTTAAGCAATTTTAATTCTAAACAAAAATATGACACTCTAATATGCGAACTCGCATACTCGGAATTATCCACGGTACCATCGGGGAGATTTCTCTCAGTGAGCAGCATATTTAACCATCACTGTTTTTTTTCTTTTTCAACCGCACATATCATTAATTCCACAGCATAACGAGCACATCCGGCAACAGGTAGAGTCTTAAAAACAGGCATGCAACGATATTCATATGAAGGGCAATAAAAGCACTTACAGTGAGGGAAAAAAGTATTTGATCCCCTGCTGATTTTGTACGTTTGCCCACTGACAAAGAAATCATCAGTCTATAATTTTAATGGTAGGTGTATTTGAACAGTGAGAGACAGAATAACAACAACAAAATCCAGAAAAACGCATGTCAAAAATGTTATAAATTGATTTGCATTTTAATGAGGGAAATAAGTATTTGACCCCCTCTCAATTAGAAAGATGTCTAGGCTCCCAGTTGTCTTTTATACAGGTGTAGGACTCGCACTCGGTTGTCTTTATGTTCTCTTTATTTTCCGCTCAACAGTCCACCTCCGCCGCGCCACCGCTCCTCGTCTATCTCTGCAGCGCCACCGCTCCGCGTCTCTCCATGCCCTCACTCCGCTCCGCGTCACTCCGCGTCTCCCTCTCTCTCTCTCCAGGTCTGTCGACTCCCCTGCTATTCTACACTGCATCCTTCAGATGCATGGCTACCCCTGTTCGCACACTGCGTTCTCGCTATCACTGTCTTTCTATACTCTACTCCATCTGTCGCCGCTAACCCACTCTATCTCTGCTCTACTACCATCACCACCTGCTCTGCGATTCCCCGGGCACCGTCGCTGCAGCTCCACCCAAGACGCCGACCAAGACAAGAAGCCCCTCTCTCCGTCGCGCTGTGGCTTATATCCCCACACTAATTAATCACCATTAATTATCTCAACCACCCCCTTATTACTCGCCCCCTGGCCCCCGGTCTCACGTGACCTTGTTATTGCCGCCAGAGCGACGCCAGCTAATAACCAATTACCAGAGGTGTGGACTCGAGTCATGTGACTTGGACTCGAGTCAGACTCGAGTCATGAATATGATGACTTCAGACTCGACTTGGACTTGCATAACAATGACTTTGTCCCACCTCTGCCAATTACCCTCTTAGCCAATCGCTGGCCTGTGTCCCCCCGGCTACCCCGAACACCTGTCTCAACACTTAACGACCCTCTCACCTAATGCCACAACAACAACTGTGTCTTCACCTACACCCCACTGTACTCTGCTCGCTGGCATAGCAACAGTGGAAGAGAATGCGTGGCGCGCTATAACCCAAGTCCTACACAGGTAACAAGCTGAGATTAGGAGCACTCCCTTTAAGAGTGTGCTCCTAATCTCAGCTCGTTACCTGTATAAAAGACACCTGTTCACAGAAGCAATCAATCACTCAGATTACAAACTCTCCACCATGGCCAAGACCAAAGAGCTCTCCAAGGATGTCAGGGACAAGATTGTAGACCTACACAAGGCTGGAATGGGCTACAAGACCATCGCCAAGCAGCTTGGTGAGAAGGTGACAACAGTTGGTGCGATTATTCACAAATGGAAAAAACACAAAATAACTGTCAATCTCCCTCGGCCTGGGGCTCCATGCAAGATCTCACCTCGTGGAGTTGCAATGATCATGAGAACGGTGAGGAATCAGCCCAGAACTACACGGGAGGATCTTGTCAATGATCTCAAGGCAGCTGGGACCATAGTCACCAAGAAAACAGTTGATAACACACTACGCCGTGAAGGAGGACAACTGGGTGAAAGTGTTGTGGTCAGATGAGACCAAAATGGAGCTCTTTGGCATCAACTCAACTCGCCGTGTTTGGAGGAGGAGGAATGCTGCCTATGATCCCAAGAACACCATCCCTACCGTCAAACATGGAGGTGGAAACATTATGCTTTGGGTGTGTTTTTCTGATAAGGGGACAGGACAACTTCACCGCATCAAAGGGACGGTGGACGAGGCCATGTACCGTCAAATCTTGGGTGAGAACCTCCTTCCCTCAGCCAGGGCATTGAAAATGGGTCGTGGAGGGATATTTCAGCATGACAATGACCCAAAACACACGGCCAAGGCAACAAAGGAGTGGCTCAAGAAGAAGCACATTAAGGTCCTGGAGTGGCCTAGCCAGTCTTCAGACCTTAATCCCATAGAAAATCTGTGGAGGGAGCTGAAGGTTCGAGTTGCCAAACGTCAGCCTCGAAACCTTAATGACTTGGAGAAGATCTGCAAAGAGGAGTGGGACAAAATCCCTCCTGAGATGTGTGCAAACCTGGTGGCCAACTACAAGAAACGTTTTGCACACAGACTTGTTGTGCGTGACAATTTATTTTCGTGAATTTTTTCTCTCCAAAATTTTCAACATTTTAGGAAAAAAAAAGATTATATTTAATTACCAATTGCTTAATGGTGGCAGGCAATCATCTGACCCATAGGTGGCAGCCATCTCAAGCCAGAGGACGAGAGGACTCTAGCCGCCCGTTTCAAAGACCAATGTGGGCTGGGTTGTGGCCCATTGAACACGCATATAAAGGATTTATAGTGAAAAACTTTGTTTTACGGGTTAATTTTTTTTGGTTCGCTTGTGTGTGGACACAGATTCCCAACTTGCAATAAAACCTTTTATGAGGGCAATTTCCCTGCTCTGGTGTGCCCGCTGCGCTGTCCCGTTGCTTCGGGAAGACAAAGACGGCTGTGAGGCTCCCTTCCTATGGAGTATGTTACATCTTGGTTAGGTATAACTGACTTATTTCGCCCTTAACTCCTCTAGATGACCCTTGTATACTATTCGTAATAATAATTTTTAAATTAGTTTTTGGTTTGTTTAGAATTATTATTACTACGTGTTTTCATAGGGTCTATTAACCTTTGTTTCACTGCCTGCATCCTGGGCCTGCGCTGCCCGTTCTCGAGTCATTACTATTATCTGATGTGCCGGGATTAGGTAATTCGCTTTGGCTTAGGAACGATCCTGACTGCCATAATTATTATCATTATTTTCCTTTTATCAGGTCGCGTAGAGAACCACCAAAGGCAACCAGAACATCGGTATTGAATTAACAAATGAGGATTCATGACCCCCTGGTGCAGACTGTAGTCTGGTTTTTAATTGGAGTGAGGGTGAGAATAGATAACGTTTGCTTAATCTTTGTCGCTAAGTTTG